AGATAGTGGGTCCTCTTGTCGTAACCCTCACGAAGCCCTAAAATACTCCCCTAGTTTACCATTAACTAGAACAGACATATTGCACGTCGACAAATATTCCCTAATCCAAGACCTCCACCGCCCACCATAACCCTTCTTGTCCATTACAAAATCTAAAAACTACCAATCCGCATGGTCATATGCCTTCTCGAAGTCCACCTTAAAAATAATTCCCTCATTCCCTGGACTTCTATATTCCTCCACTATTTCATTTGCCACTAAGGCTACATCTAGGATTTGTCTTCCTTTCACAAAAGCCCCCTGCCCCATGGACACAGTCTCCCCCAATGAAATCTTTAGTCTCTTTGATAAAACCTTCCCCAAAATCTTATAAAGTGATGTGACCAAATTGGCGGGCCTAAAATTTTCAATTCTTACAGCATTCACTTGCTTAGGAATTAAACAAATGAATGTGGCATTTGAGCTCAAATTAACAACCCCCGACTCATGAAATTTCAAAAAAACTCCCAACAAGAATTTCCGTTTCATCAAATGGCTTTTCAAGCCATGTCGCAACTGCCTGATCAATAGGTCCCCATTCAAGCCCTTCAATCCCCGATCTATTCATCTTCTTCTTCAAATAAAGCTTAGAATAAAGATCATAAATTCCAGTGACAATCTGATTGTCCTGTTCCACCACTACCCCTGGGCTTACTTCTAATCTCTTGATGAACTTTTTTCTTTTCCCATCTGCCACCCTGAGAATTTTTTTTGAATTCACATCACCTTCCTTCAACCATTTAACCTTTGCTTTTTGAGCCTAAGAAATTTGCTCCCTAAAAATCAACTCTTCCAATTTCAATCTTAACTGAGATTGCTCCCTCCTAACGGACTCAACTAAACCCCCTGCACCTCCAATACATCTAACTCTTCGATTCTGCTCATCGCCGCCTTCTTTGAAAGCTTCAAATTCCAAAAACCTCCATATCCCAACACTTCACATTCTCCTTAACCATCTTCAACTTTTTGATAAACTTAAAACCTTCCCATCCATAACAACTAGCATTGGCCCACCATTCTTCAAAATTTCGTTTAAAAGATGGATGTTCCAACCACATGTTTTCAAATCTAAAAGGCGTCGGACCCACTTTAACGGACCACTTTCTATCATAATAGGACAATGATCTGACGTTAATCTCGGTAGCGATTCCTGCCTTAAATTGGGAAAAAACCCTTCCCACCTCAAGGAGTACAAAAATCTATCCAGTCTACAACAAACCAAATTTTCTTGCAAATTAGACCATGTAAATCTAGTATTGCACAAAGGAGGATCCACCATTATCAATATTAATTGAAGGTTCAAGGCATATTGTTTTCTTAAGGAAGCTTGAGCTAGTTTTTGTTGCTCAATGCAGGAAGATTTTTTTTGTGTTATTCGTTTATTTATTTATTCTTTTTTGTACATCCAAATGAATCTGATCAATTTGTGGATTGAGTCAAATTGCTGATTATGCTGCTTCTCTAACAGTCTGAGTAGTTACAAGGTTCTTTTGAATTGCCATAGTGAGGTTGTTAGGCACTTTTAAGTTAGATTATTTGGATTGTAGCTTTCAAAACGACGGTGGAAGGTGTTTGGAACAAGTTATTGCATAAACTTATATAGCTCTCTTTTTTTTTTTTTTTTTGTGTGTGTGTGTGTGTGTAGGATGTTAGTGGGTTAGTAAGTTAGGTTAGCATGACCGGGCTACATAAGCTCAGAATCCAAACCTCCCTCTAGAAACCAGAGATGCAACCACTTGAGCTACCCAGGAGGTGCTTTTCTAACTAAACTTGTTTAGCTATTGGACATTGGACAAAAAGGCCCCTCAAAATTTTCATAATTGCAGTGTATCCCTTTAAAAAATAATTTGGTTTAAAAAAAGCTATGGACATTTTGGATTTTATACTTCCAAAAGTTACTTCTTGTGATTATTTTCCAAATAGGCTTTTAGTTTTTCACATGTTATCCAAAAGTTGCATCGAACACTTTTACAACTTATATTTAAAGGATTTTAAGCCAATAATCTAAAAAACATAATCTTAAAAGCTAAACTTTTAAGATTCAACCATGTAGTGGCTTCGGTTTCTATTTACTGTTTGCTTTGATGCTGCTTTTGTTGTTTAATAGAATGCTATCATTTCTCCCTTGCGGATATGCTTTTCCTTGCCCTTTTTTCCCTATGCACATGAGTTTACCTAATTTGGTTCTATGTCTTCCCACTAGTAGGTTGCTAGAACTTTTAGGTACACTGAAAAGTGTGAAAAACATTAACTGATATTTGATTATTTTGATACAAAAAGAGAAGTTGTGACTTGGCATGATGGCAAGTGCTATATGCCCCAATGATGTGTTTTGGGTTAAGTAACTTATGTGCAGAGCGGGAGCAGGAGCAGGGCCACAAAAGCATCCTCTGTGAAAATATCTCGAGAACAGGAGTGCCTCTAGGGTGTGTCTTTATACATATATATATGTGTATATATGAAGTATTTACTTTTAAATAATTTCGACCTTTTTATGCACTAATACCTTGTTAGAAAGTAATTATGCTTTCTGCTAACAAAGGACATGTCATATATTAAATAAGTAAAATAACACTTATCAACAAAGAACAAGTCTAATGGTGCGTCACCTCCTTTTGGTCTCATGGTCGAATCCTCTATGTGGCATTTTTTCTTGCTTGGATCCATTTCATGAAGCATGTGTATTGCAGAGGATGGTTCCTGTGTATCTCACTTCCTAAACTAATACACTTGAGATGATCGGTTAGAATTGGGCCAGTTTCAAATTCGTGAGTTTGATGATTATTATTCCTGAATTTGACTCGTTTTCGCAATCAGTTTACATCGTACTATAGAGCACCATCTGTCTACTATATTGGCCGTTTTAGGTGACATAGGTTGTAGGTTTGAGTCACGGTAATCATCCTCTCCTAGACTCTTCTATATGGGGGGCATTGTGCACTGGGTACCGATTTTTTTTTTTTTTTTTTTTTTTGTTTTTGATGCCTCTTTATCGTGGTTTATGGTAAATTGTTCAGTTTGGGATATCACTTACCCTGTATCAGCAGTTTTATGCTAAAATGTGAATTTATTTCTAGTAGTCTGAAGGATAGTAGTAGTTGTTGTTTTGTTGATGAGTTTGAAATAGTCCTACTGGAGTTATATGATAGTTTGTGGTTGCTTTTTTTTTTTTTTGGTTTCTTTGCCTGTCAACCTCTTTTGATGGTTGAGGCAAGAACCGCTGTGTGCTTTTTTGATGAAATGGCTTGTTAAGCTTGAAATTTCTTTTGGAGTGAATTTGTATGTTGTTGGAAACTTAATTCATTTGAATTCTCATTCATAAATGTGGAAGGCACATGATTTGTCCTCCTTAAGGGTGTAGTTGTAACAAAAGATGGGGGCATCACCTCATTAGATTTTAAAAATGATAATTAGATTTCAAGAAGACATAGGTCTTGTTTTAGATGCTGTTTACAACTTCAGACAGGCCTTAGCTGATGCTTGCGATGCAGGCAAGGCAACTATTGAATGACACCACCATACAGTGTCTTCACCAACGGTCTGACACGACCATACAGTGTCTCCTATCCTTTTTTTTATGTATTTTCTTGTTTTGTAACTCTCTTCAAACTCAAGTTGGTTAGTTTCTATCCTCCTTGAGTTTGCGGGGGCTGTTAAAATATATCATCACCTACCACCTCCACTCAACTCACCTACCACACACACTCACCTACTCCCCAATCCTCTCCTATATAATGAGTACCTCACCATCTGTAATTTACACATCAGACATCAATTCAATACAATCAATCAATAATACAATTCTCTATTTCTCTTTATACATTAAATTTTCTACACATGTCATATATTAAATAAGTAAAATAACACTTATCAACAAAGAACAAGTCTAATGGTGCATCACCTCCTTTTGGTCTCATGGTCGAATCCTCTATGTGGCATTTTTTCTTGCTTGGATCCATTTCATGAAGCATGTGTATTGCAGAGGATTCATGATCCATCTCTCTCTCTCTCACACTCTCTGAGGTATTAGAGAGAGAGAGAGAGAGAGCTGAGAGGTGGATCATTGACCCGCCATGTCCGAGGTAGTCAAAAAAGCTTGGAACATTTACATGCTACAATTGCAACTCCACCCTCTGAGAACCAAGGTCACTTTCTCAAATATTCATGTCATTCACATACATATTGACTTTATTTCTATTCAATGCTTTATTCAATTTTTCATGGGGTTTTTTTTTTTTTTTTTTTTTTTTTTTTTTTGGTTATTTGTTTTTGATGCCTCTTTATCGTGGTTTATGGTAAATTGTTCAGTTTGGGATATCACTTACCCTGTATCAGCAGTTTTATGCTAAAATGTGTATTTATTTCTAGTAGTCTGAAGGATAGTAGTAGTTGTTGTTTTGTTGATGAGTTTGGAATAGTCCTACTGGAGTTATATGATAGTTTGTGGTTGCTTTCTTTTTTTTTTGGTTTCTTTTCCTGTCAACCTCTTTTGATGGTTGAGGCAAGAACCGCTGTGTGCTTTTTTGATGAAATGGCTTGTTAAGCTTGAAATTTCTTTTGGAGTGAATTTGTATGTTGTTGGAAACTTAATTCATTTGAATTCTCATTCATAAATGTGGAAGGCACATGATTTGTCCTCCTTAAGGGTGTAGTTGTAACAAAAGATGGGGGCATCACCTCATTAGATTTTAAAAATGATAATTAGATTTCAAGAAGACATAGGTCTTGTTTTAGATGCTGTTTACAACTTCAGACAGGCCTTAGCTGATGCTTGCGATGCAGGCAAGGCAACTATTGATTGAGCTTAATTTTTAATCGTACGTGCATATGCCCTTTTGATTTTAATAATAATAGGTGAATATGCTGTTTCTGTTATCTTGGTTCTTTATTTTTGTAATCCTATATTGATCTCGGAGATATATTTCTGAATTACTGGGCACCTTTGGTATGTAAAATTACAGGTCTTCTAAAGATTTTCCAGATATGCATAATCTTATTATGCACACATACAACTCAGATACAGCTGACTTGCTTGTGGATCACTTGGGCTTGCATAAAGCTTTGTGTGTTCTGATGGGCTGGAACTATTTAAAGTCTCCAGATAACTCGAAGGCATATCAGTCATTGTCTTCCAATGAAGCATCAGCGAACCAGGATGATCTGATAATATGGCCACCTGTGGTGATCATTCATAATACAAACACTGGAAAGGGTAGAGATGGACGCAAAGAAGGTTTGGGAAACAAAGAAATGGATAATAAACTTAGAGGTATAGCGTGCCTCCTTGTTCTTTATCATCCTTCATACTATTTTTTTTCATTCTAATATTTCAGAGTTTTTCATTTGGCCCTGGTGATCCGATGCTTGGATCTCATGTTAGTCCTCCGCCACCACTCAATAGCTGTTAGGAAGGGATTTTAGCTGCAGTAGTTTTAAATTATTATTATTTAGCATGTGAGTAATAAAAACTGCGCGACAGTTGTGTCGATTTCAGTTATGGGGTCTTTGTTTCGCACAGGAATAACAAAGCCCTTTTAAGGACTGAAGTTTTCCCTCTCATTCTATGGCTCTTTTGCATTTTCTCTTTTCTTGCTTCATGCGTGTTCCATTCCTATGTTGTTTCACCACCTTGAACTTAGCCTGCCGTTGTCTTAAAAGAATTCACATGCAGTCATCTGCTTTACCAAAATAGTCCACCTTGTCATGGTAGTCTCATTTGCCCTTGTACCCTTTCTTGTTAGTTCACTGAATCTGTTTGTTCTTGTGCGTATTACTTCTGCTTGAGTTCTCATTATACATAATGCTACTTGTGGCATGCAATTTTGCTCATAGTAGCAAGAAACTCCTATGGGGGCCTCGCTCCTGCCCCCGCTCCCATCCTGAAACTTTTATAAGGCCCTCACTCCCACTCCCGCTCCCACTCCTGCCCCCACACCCCTCCTGCTTCGTGCAACTATGGTTTTGCTGTCCAACCTTCCTCCCCTGGCCCATTAAATATAGTTTGCAAACTTAGTTTGGATATCTGAAGGACTTTATGAGTCAGAAATCTATATTTCTGTCTCTTAAATGATTGAAATTTCATTCCTTTAAAAACACAGGCGCCATTGTCATCCTTTTATGGAGTGTGCAAATAAACTTGAAAAGTTACCTTGCTCTAAAATTTTAGGAATAAACTAGGTCTGGATGCATTGATGTTTTTCAGTCATTACAATTGGTGATGAACGAGATAAGTAGCTTGGGCCGTTCTGCAATTTAGTTTTGCTATCATTTCCATTTCATTTTCTGTTATTTAGCTGCTATGTGGTGTGTTAATCCAAGGGTTGCTCGCCCCCTCCCCTGCTTTTTCTTTTTATTTCTGCTTTTATCAATTTGGTAAAGATTCATCATTTACCATAGAAAAATTATGTAAATCATCATAAATTTCACCCTAAACTATTGAGAAGTTTCTGGTTATCCTTTTTTTGTCCATCCTTGATGCATACTGGATGATGAGGGAATCATACGTTCATTGATAATATTCAATTATTACTCTAACTAGGAGCCTTTAAATATTGTTGTTGTATTTCATTGTGTAAGACTTTTAGTTGCTTAAATACTAAAATTTGAGTTTTATTTTTCAATTATGTTTTTATTTTTTTTAACCTTTTTTTTCGCCCTTTTTGCCTGAGAATCAGAGTTCTAAGTAGATTTAATTTTGTAGTTTATGATGTATCTATAAGTTTTAGGGTTTTATAAGGCTTACAAGATGCCCATTAGGGGAAAAAATGTGGTGGCCTTTTTGGATATCAAAGTTAAAAAATATTTGGAAGAACTCTCTCTCTTCAGCCTTTATGTGAATAAAAAGATTCAACACGCTTTAAAGTTCTCATGAGAGCAAGCTTGTATTAATCTGAAGCACAACTTGTATCTTCCTTTACATTATTCCAAAGTTTATGATGTATCTATAATTGCTTTCTATTTGAAGCTTTGGAAAGGTCCATCTTAATCCTATCTGTAACTGTGCTAATTATAGGACGGATGGATCTCTTTGTGAAAGGTTACTTTCACACTCTCTGCAATAGTAAATTGTGAATTCTTTATTCGTTCACTCTCTACATTCACTACTTAAATTGAACCTGGGTAGCAAAATTGTTCACTCTCCACATTTAATTGCGTATCCAACTTTATTGATTGGCTAGTCTTTGTGGTAATTAGAAACTAGAAAGCACTTTCTAGATGCATATCAAGCATGGTAACTCGTTTATGTTTTATCTTTTTATTTTCTGGATTACTGATCAATGGATTATTTTAATATTGACTTTGGTCATTATTTTGGTACACATCCTTTGTTTTCTCTCAATGGAGGTTCCTTTTGTGATGCTTAGAATGGCTTTAATGTTTTTGTGTTTTTGCTGCTAACTGATTATTATAGTGGCACCTAAGGGTGTAGTTGAGTTGGTAAGACTTGGGGGTTATAACCTCTAGTTCTCTGGTTCAACTCTTGGCAAAGCCAAGGCTCTTGCTTTTTGCCCGATGATGAGAGTGGTGCATCTCATTGCCCCCAGGTTTTGGTGTCTAATCTAACTGGGTGGGGATCCCATAGGTTTCTAATCTAACTTGAAGGGGGTCATGTCTTGGGTTATCAAAAAAAAAAAAATATCAAAAAAAAAAAAAAAACCTTGATTATTAGTGAAATAGAACCATGACATCATTATCGCTTGACATCTATGTTTTCCTATGGTTGAAGGGGTGTTCTCCCTCATCATCCCTTGAGTATGGTTCTTTTAAGTTAATTTTCTGAAATAATATCTTCAAAAAAGATTCATGGTGTAAGTTGGTGCACTTTGATGTGCATGTCACCAATGTGCTAACTATAATCTTTGAACTGATCAACAAATGTTGAAAATTGTTGCCATATTTTGGATGGATTTAGTTTTTTTGAAGTGTCTAGTTTTTGTTCAGTTAGATGCTTTGAATCCAGTTTATTTTGGTCCTTGTCATACTGGCAAGTATTCGATTTTATGATTCTAAATCGAGTGGATGGGAACTCTGTTACTTAAATATGTTACGTGTGCAATGTTCGTTTTATTGTGGGCGTTTATTTCTTTGTGCATTATTTCTTGAATATCACCTTGATGGATTCACATCATGTTCTGGCACAAATTCTGATATTTTGTTGATGGTATGGTTTTTCTCTATCCCCTACCTCTTCTGTAAGCTTCATTTATTTTTAGAGGAATTAAATTCTTATTCTAAAAATAGGTGGAATTATATTCTTATTCTAAAAATAGATGGATGTTTTCCTATCTCTGTTCTTGTTTGATGGATTTGGCAAGGTTGAAACAGTTTATAAACACTTTTCATTTGCGTTTAGAGTTTGAAGACATGCACACGAGTACTATATTGGACTGGCCTGGGATTTCTGCTAGACCAGATCCAAAGTTGTGGATCAGGGATTGTTGTAACTCCTCTATTTGACCATTTGACACCCATGTTATGAAAGCGAACATTCTAGGCTGTTGAAGTTAAGTTATCCCTTACAACGATGCCTTCTTGACCCTAGGAGATAAGTGACTATTTTGGAAGGAAATTTGGAAGTCCAAGAAGCCGTTGGCAGGAAAGACGATCCCACGTGCAGCATGATTTTACCAAAAGAAGAGCTTCTTGAACATGAAAATGTGTTCAAATTGTTGGATTTTATTGACACACCACAAATTGATTGGTGTTTTTATGTATTGAATCCATGTCTGATGGTCCTCATCAGTAACTTGGGAACCAAGGTTATTCGGATTTAGAAGAAAATAAGGTTTAGTCGGATTAGGAAGAACCTAAAGCAGCTAGCATATTCGAAGTACTTGATTTGCTGGTGTGGACAAGTTTAATATTTAAAAGGGAACTCGGAGGTCAAGCCATGCATGCACATGGAAAGCTTTATTTGCAATTTTTTTAATTTTTTGTATTTAGTATTTTATTTATTTATTTTTTTAATTGTAGTTTAATTAGTAGTCTTATTAAATTTGGCTTCCTATATTATTAAAAATTCTAGATTCTTTTTTTTTGGTTGTTGGGGTTTAGTTTCCTATTTTAATTAGGGTTAATAGTCTATAAATATTAGATTTTGCATTGTATTATTGAGATTTTTGGATTTATAAAATTGAGTGTTTTAAGGCTGTGGCCTTGTGTGATTAGGGCCGTCTTCCCTTTCTCCCTCTCCGTCCTATGTCACTTCTGGGCTTATTGTGCCCTCAATATAAAGAGGACTGCTATATATAAATCTGTTTTTTTCACCATTAATATCACCCGAGTACTTACCAAGATGTTATTGGTTTTCGTTAATTCCTTAATAAATGGCTTGTTCATGAACGATACAAAACGGTGAAAAAAAAATCAGTGATATGTAGCATTTTGCTACATGAAATTAGGTTCTTAAACAATTATCTCTTTTCTAAATGTTCCTTTCAGATTTTGGCTTCAGGGGTGGCAAGTCAAAGTCCATGTATGGAATAGATGGTCATCTTGGCATTACTTTGGTTAAGTTCTATGGTAACCAATCCGGCTTGAAGGAGGCTGTGAGGCTTGCTGAATTCTTTGAGAAAGAAAGCCATGGGCGAATTGGTTGGACCCGAGCAGAGTCCTTGAAATCAGGCAGAGACGATGAGAACAATCCAAACCTCATGAAGGTGGATGTGAAGACGGGGGAGAAGAAGAGAATCTTTTATGGCTATCTAGTAACTGTTTTTGATCTGGATAAGGTGGATTTTGAGACGAGGAAGAAGGCTGTGATCGAGAGCAGAAGGGAATACAAACCGTCTGCGTAGGAGGCCTAGCAATGAGACCAGGTATTTGAGTGTATCTTACATATGCATTCATTTTCAATGGAACTTGGAACTTTTTTCCCTTTTTTCCTGCCTTATTTACATAGTTTTGGAGTCAACAAAAAATGGAAGATTGTTTTGTGCAATCTGATTGCTGAACAAGTATTGGTTTCGTATTCCTTTGATGGTGCGCTAGACCGGGCAGTTCTTGGTAAAATTATCAAGGTCTTGTTCAGTTAATGTATATCATTAGATTGGCGATATAGGGGTGGTGAAATTTGTGTTTCTTGTTTAACCTGACTTCTGCGATAATTGGAAAGAATTTGTTACTCCTTGAAGGGAAAAAAGAGTTTGCATTGTTTCCTTTTCACCTTGATGGATACATGCGAATCTAAAATGAGATAAATGTGTGTATGTTTTTCATTTTTCATTTTTTTTTTCTTTTGGAATAATACTATACAACTTAATACGTCTTCCAAATTTTGCTTACCCACATGTCACGTCTCATATTATTAAAATGTATCATGTTTTATATTTTACAAATTTTTATAGCCAATTTCAGTATCGATGTTTTTTTAGGGATTTCTATATGATGCAGTGCTATGGTTGGACTTCTTATGTTCGGATATGGATCAAATAATAAATAGTTCCTTTTAGGTGGTGTACCGGTTATGGGTTGCTACTCAATCAATCAGTTATAAAATACTATTATTAGCTCAATTACTAGGGTTAGCTTAGTGACTATATATCCAACTAACTAATTAGGTGGTCATAGGTTCGATTTCTCCTTTCCCATATGATCTACCAAAACGAAAAAGTAACCATTAAGCTTACATGTGTTGTCAATGTCTTTATGTGCAATTTATTGAATCATCAACTTTTTCGTATTTTCCTTTTTTGGGAAAAGGAGTTAAATGAATTGAATATATATATATATATATATATTTACACAAGTGAAAGATAATTACTTATAATTTCACAATAAAGATTTTTCATTTTGTATGACATTTGTTTTTTTGGGGGGCGGTGGATAGATAGGCATTATTGTATGAGACAAAAATTTGTCTTTTTAGGAAATTTTTAGGATTAGGTGGATGGTCGTTGTAAGGTTGGTGGATGGTTCGGTATGAATTGACATAAAATTAAAATGGGAAGAAATGTATTGAAGCAATCTTATCCAATCTTTGTGTCACATTCCAACCAAAACCAGTAATCAATTTTTTTAATAATTTAAATATATTAAAAAAAATTAATTATCTCAAAATTGAGAAGAGGTGCCACTAAGGGTTGTTTTAGGAATATGATTAAAAGTTGATTTTTTGATTTTTTTTTTTTTTGACATCTTTTTAAAAAACATATAAAAAATGTGAGAAATGTTATGACCAAAAATGGGAGGTACCTCTATTTACACACCACATCTGGTCTTAAGACATACTATTACTCAGTTCACACCTTTAATAATTTGAAAAAGTATACAGTTTGTTTGGTTTTGGTTTTTAGAAAACAGTTTTTTAAAAAACTTTACTTTTTTATTTTCTGTATTTTAATGTTTTCAATGAATTTTTATAATGTTTTAAACAATTTTTTTTTTAATTGTTAGAGGCACTTAACATAAATATATTTAAAAAATATAATATTTACGAAAAAAATCTTTAAAAAATATACTAAATACCAAAAAATACAAAAAAAAAAAAATGAAAATTCAATACAATTATCGTATTTTTGTATATTTTTAAATTTTTAAAAATATTTTTCACAAATAGTATACTTTTTAAGTGTATTTAAGTTCTAAAAATTAAAAGAAAAATTGCTAAAACATTAAAAAAATTCAATGAAAACATTAAAATATGAAAAATAAAAAAGTAGAATTATTAAAAATGTGAATTGAGTAGTGGTGTAGCTTAAAACCAAATGTGGTGTGTAAATAGAGGCACCAAAAAATGGGTTAAAAATTGAAATATGACTTTTAACCCTCTTTCCAAAATAAATTGTACCAAATAAGTCCTTCAAGACACTATATTATCTTTGAATCTTAAATTTTTTAAAAAATTATGAAAAAAGAAAAAGAAAAAGAAAAGGGATTTCATTTCATTAATTTTTTTTGAAACTTTATCATATATTTAAAATTCAAATACAATCTTAATAGTAGAGGAAGGAAAATAGTGGTCATCCTCCTTCCTTCCTTTCTGTTTTTTTATTAAATAAATAAATACGTATATGTTTTTTCTATACACAAAATCCAAGATTACTTAATTTTTTTAATTTTTTAAAATTATTTCTGTTAAATAAATTATAAATAGAATCTTATACCAAACACTTTGTACACATTTCTTTTTTTTTTTTAAATTAAAAATTAAAAAATTCTAATTGTACCAAATAGGCCAAAGAGGAAAAAGCTTTGTGATTTTGCCACCTTATTACTTTTGAATTTGTAATGTATCCTATTTTCTCATGCTACCGTCATAATCCTTATCACTATACGTGTCTGAAAAAGAAGAGAGACCATGTCCTTTTTTTCCTTGTCTTCTTTCACTGTTTGGATGGTTATGAAATATGCTTATGTGGCCTTCTCTTATTTTATAGTATATATTTTATTCTAATTAAACATATTACAATTACTATGTCTTATATGTTATTAATTTTATTCATAATTTGTAGGTGTTACTTATTCCCTAATTTTCACAAAATTATATCTGATAACCAAACAAGGCCTATTGCATTAGACTTGAGGTCAAGTGGTATTTTTATTTTTTTGATACTTTTGGAAGAATAATATTCCAATCATATAAAGAAGAATGGGTTTGCATTATCTTATTATTCAAAATATTATTGTGTTTTTTTGTGAAAAATAGAAGGGGAAAAAAAAAAAAAGCCTTTTGATTCAAGTTTGAAGAAGCTATATGGAACTCCAAAGTAAAATTTACTTTGCTCTAATTACAATCTTATTTATTGCCGATATACTAATTTTGCTTCTCAACTTCAAAAAATTATTTAGCCTTTGTTTGGCTAATTTAATTGGGTTAAAAAAGTACAAAAGACAAAATAAGTCAATAAGACAAAATATCATATTCAAATCATAATCATTTCACTTTTTCTTTTGCAAAAGTCAAAAAAATCAAACCAAATAAACTTTTTAGTCCCAAGTTAAAAAAGTTTCAATTCAAAAAAGTCGATGCTAAACGGCCATTCAGTAAGTTGGGCATTGACCCAATATTTTTGGAGGCTTAGGGGAAAAAAATCTCAAAGTTTTGTATTCTCTCTCCTTTGGATAAGCAAATATTTTAAAATAAGCTTTTTAGTAAGATTTTTTTTTTTTAAAAAAATTGCAATAAATATATATATTTAATTATTTTTTTTTACATTTATTTTAGCCTTTTGGCAAAGATGAAAGAGGATAAAAATATAAATGCTTCAAAAAATTAAAGGCTTTGCCCAAGGGAGGCCTGACCTAAGAGTGTGCTCTTAACCAATATGACTAATAAAAAAATAGAATATGGTTAATCTATTTTCTTCCATGACCTAAACAACGTGCATACGGCCCTTGATCACAATCGAATTATGATTAGTTGTTACTTATTCGGTGTGAGACAAGATCCTCACCGTTGGAAGCCCTATCCAACGGTTAGATTAGGTGCAATAAAGGATTATGACCTTTTTGATCAGGTGCATTTCGGCTTATAATCCAATCAGAAGATCCTTAAATCAACTTTGTTATATTTTAAAACTAGATTTGTTATTAACTTGGTGCATTTCATTTATTGTGTGCAAATACTATCTTTCGAAAAACGACATGATATTTATAACGTGACTTGAAATGTATTCATTAAAAAAATTTAGTTCGAAGTTCTTTACCGACATCGTCATTTGTAGTATTTGCACCAATAATTTTGTTTATTTTCCTTTTTCTTTTATTTTTTATTTTTTTAACGTATTGCGCAGAAGAAGAAATGATACATTGGTAAATTCAAGAGAGAGAGGGATAGGGGTGGGGGGTTCTGTTGGAGGAAGGGCTGGTGAGGGTAAAGATGCAAAGTAAGAGAGATTTTGAGAAAAATGGTGAGATAAAAAATATCCCATCAAAATACAAGTTATTTAATTATGTATTTATATTGGGTATGTACAACTAGGTTTACTTAGGCCTCGTTTGGGAACATGTTTTTTTAGTAATTTTTTGACTCTCTTGCTAAAATGTGATGTAAAAAAAAGGGCAAATTACATATATACCCCTCGAGGTTTGGCTAAATTACAAATACCCCCCTGAGGTTTGAGAAATTACGAATTCTCCCCTGAATACTATATTTGCATAAGAAATTAGGAGGTAATTTGTTATGAAATATAAACCTCAGGGGGTAAATTGTTATGAAAATACAAACCTCAGGGGGCGGGATGTAATTTTCGAAACCTCAGGGGGTATCTGTAATTTAACCAAACCTCGAGGGGTGTATATGTAATTTGCCCTAAAAAAAATTAGTATGTTTGGGATGATTTTTTAATTTTTTACGAAAAGACGCGTAAAAAGTAAAGAGAAAAGGGAATCTTTAAATTTTTGGTATGAATTGTTATTTTTTAACTTTTTTAGTGACTTTTTAACTAAAAAATTCACTTATCAAACGAGGTCTTAGTGTAATTTTTGATTTTTATACAAGAAAATAAAAAAATAATATAATTCAAATAAATATTTTTATTTAGTGCATGCAGATGACCCCTACCACACAAGTTCCCCATAAATAACCGAAAGCTGCTGAGTACAAAGATACTCTTTGACAAGGGGAAAACAAAATTGGAAGTCTCTCTCACATCGTGATCCTAAGATTCTGTACACATGCACGTCTTCATTCTGTGCACCAAGGTATACTACCATGTCATTTATATAAAAATGCTATCAATCAAGGAAAAGTATTTTGAAATTCGGAATTGTTTAGGAAAATTTAAATAAATATATTTTTTTAATTTTTTATAAGAATTTATACAGATTATACATCCCTTTGGGGTGCATACTATGTATTTTACCACAAATTAACATAATTTTACTATTATTTGCATCTCAAAATAATAGTTACTTTTAGAAAATCTAACTTTTTTTGATAGTACAACTATTACATTTTAAAAATATTAATTTTTCAAAATTACCCTTTGATAGCATATTTTTTTTTTGAGAATATCAATTGTCATAATTATACTTTTTGTATTATTAATGAATTTGAAAGGACAAAATAGTAAATTTGTATTATTTTATTCCTTAATTTTTGAAAAGGGACTAATATGTTGGGACACTAAAAATTAGAATAAGAGACTAAGGCTATGTTTGGTTGTGAATTCAAAACGTGATTCTATACGTGAACTCCCGCTTCACGTTTGGATAAGATGTTC